CCTGATCTAGCCCAGAGTTCAAAGTTAAGGTTTTCACATTTCAGCAGGACAAGCGTTGCATGGGAGAACAAGGCAGCCGCAGCCAACGGCAAAACGTCAAATCCGGCCAAAATCTGTCATGAAACAATTGAAGCATTGAACCCCGGCTAAATCGGGACTGACCCATCCCGTTTAGGTCGGTCAACCACGAACGGTCACACGAACGACACGATCCTGAGATCGTCGGGACTCACAACGGTCGGTGGGGGTTATAAAAACCCATGACCATCAACGTGAAACGGGGGACAACAATACCAACAGTAAAACCATCGAGGAACCACGGGGAACAAGATACCGAGAGCCACCGAAACCAAAATACCAGCAACGAACCCATAATCAAACAAGTGAAACTGAGAATACCAAGAAATATCAACATACGGCCAGTAAAAAAAACCACAGCAAACATCAACAGTACACGGAGATCAACCACAGTACCAACAGAACAACATCAACATAATCAAGACACAACCATAAACCAAAAGCCAATCCAAAACGCAAAATAAACCACAAAAATATCAAACCACATCCCAAGCATACAAAGACAACCATCATCGAAAATTCGAGGATTAACGTCGGCGTGGGCTCGGGAGAAGAACGGTCGTCGGAAAGTGAAGAGGCTCGTCAGGAAAGGTGAGAACCGAGGGATATTTCTTTAGATCTGCAACTATCGGGGCTTATTTCGGGGATTTGGAGGCTGAATTTGGTATCAGGGGATGAAGATGAGCATTCGATGAAGTTTTAATTTTGTCGGCCGCCGTCAGCGGGGTTTGACGGTGGCCGACAGGTGACCGGGGGAGCTCTCTCTAGAGAGAGAGGAGATATATCATTTTAGAGAGAGAGTGTAAAGAGTAAAATGAGAGGGTTTGGTGTTATTTCACTCTCATATGGCCTTTTATAATGCTGATGAAACGACGTAGTTTCGATGGGGGAGTGGCTCGTAATTTTGCTTAGGGGTTTATCGCAGCATGGGTCCCTCGTCCCTTGTAATGTTGCTTTCTGGCCATACATTGAACTTTTCATTCATTTTATTTTGAGCATTAAATTTCCAGGATTTATATTTTATCCCTTTTTTTATATTACATGTTTTTTGTGTTAATATTCGAATTTGACCCTTACATTTTCATATCTTCTGTTTTGGTCACTAATTTGGCATGTATGCTTATGGTTAACTATATTTTTAGTCCTTCATGTTCTTACACATTTTATTTTACCATATTTTTTATGGGTTTTTTTATTATTATTATTATTTAAAACATCTTTATTTTACTTTATTGTTACTTTATTTCTTTTATTTATTATGTTCTGTTTGTTATTTTCTATTTTTTCTTTTGATTTGTACTTTTTATTTCTTTATAAATATATTTTCCTTTTTTGATTTATTTAATGTTTTTTTGTTTTCCCTTTCAATTTATTTTATTTATTTGTTTATATATTTATTGTTTTTATTATCATTTTTTCCTTTTTTTATTTTTTAAATAATTTTTTCCTCTAACATTTTCGACCTATTTTTTTTAGAAATTTCAAACTAATCAAAGGTAAGTAGTTGAATCGAATTCTTAAAATTTAATTTAAATTCTTAATTTTCGCAAATAAAGACAACCAGAAAATTAATTGGTACCGAAATGGCGGTTCAAGGGTGCTAATCCTTCATTGACCATAACCGACTCCCGAACCCGACACATTTCCTGTACAACGCAGAACAGTTAAGATGGTATCCGACTCACCTAAATTTGTTTTAAAGTGGTCGGTGGCGACTCTAACCCAATCATTTCAAGTCGAAGCCCAATTTCGGGCCCAACATTTTAGAGAGAGAGTGTGGAGAGTAAAATGAGAGGGTTTGGTGTTATTTCACTCTCATATGGCCTTTTTATAATGCTAATGAAACGATGTAGTTTCGATGGGGAAGTGGCTCGTAATTTTGCTTAGGGGTTTATCACAGCATGGGTCCCTCGTCCCTTGTAATGTTGCTTTCTGGCCATACATTGAACTTTTCATTCATTTTATTCTAAGCATTAAATTTCCAGGATTTATATTTTATCCCTTTTTTTATATTACATGTTTTTTGTGTTAATATTCGAATTTGACCCTTACATTTTCATATCTTCTGTTTTGGTCACTAATTTGGCATGTATGCTTATGGTTAACTATATTTTTAGTCCTTCATGTTCTTACACATTTTATTTTACCATATTTTTTATGGGTTTATTATTATTATTATTATTTAAAACATCTTTATTTTTACTTTATTGTTACTTTATTTCTTTTTATTTATTATGATCTGTTTGTTATTTTCTATTTTTTTCTTTTGATTTGTACTTTTATTATTTCTTTATAAATATATTTTCCTTTTTTGATTTATTTAATGTTTTTTTGTTTTCCCTTTCAATTTATTTTATTTATTTGTTTATATATTTATTGTTTTTATTATCATTTTTTCCTTTTTTTATTTTTTAAATACTTTTTTTCCTCTAACATTTTCGACCTATTTTTTTAGAAATTTCAAACTAATCAAAGGTAAGTAGTTGAATCGAATTCTTAAAATTTAATTTAAATTCTTAATTTTCGCAAATAAAGACAACCAGAAAATTAATTGGTACCGAAATGACGGTTCAAGGGTGCTAATCCTTCATTGACCATAACCGACTCCCGAACCCGACACATTTCCTGTACAACGCAGAACAGTTAAGATGGTATCCGACTCACCTAAATTTGTTTTAAAGTGGTCGGTGGCGACTCTAACCCAATCATTTCAAGTCGAAGCCCAATTTTGGGCCCAACATTTTAGAGAGAGAGTGTGGAGAGTAAAATGAGAGGGTTTGGTATTATTTCACTCTCATATGGCCTTTTTATAATGCTGATGAAACGATGTAGTTTCGATGGGGAAGTGGCTCGTAATTTTGCTTAGGGGTTTATCACAGCATGGGTCCCTCGTCCCTTGTAATGTTGCTTTCTGGCCATACATTGAACTTTTCATTCATTTTATTTTGAGCATTAAATTTCCATAATTTATATTTTAGCCCTTTTTTATATTACATGTTTTTTGTGTTAATATTCAAATTTGACCCTTACATTTTCATATATTTTTTTTATCACTAATTTGGCATGTATGCTTAGGGTTAACTATATTTTTAGTCCTTCATGTTCTTACACATTTTATTTTATTATATTTTTTCTGGGTTTTTTTAAATTATTTTAAACATCTTTATTTTTACTTTATTGTTACTTTATTTCTTTTTATTTATTATTTTATGTTTGTTATTTTCTATTTTTTTCTTTTGATTTGTCCTTTTATTATTTATTTATAAATATATTTTCTTTTCTTTTTTTGATTTATTTAATTTTTTTTGTTTTCCCTTTCAATTTATTTTCTTTATTTCTTTATTGTTTTTATTATCAATTTTTTTCCTTTTTTATTTATTTAAATAATTTTTTTCCTCTAACATTTTCGACCTATTTTTTTTAGAAATTTCAAACTAATCAAAGGTAAGTAGTTGAATCGAATTCTTAAATTTTAATTTAAATTCTTAATTTTTGCAAATAAAGATAACCGGAAAATTAATTGGTACCGAAAGGGTGGTTCAATGGTACTAATCCTTCTTTGACCGTAACCGACTCCCGAACCCGACACATTTCTGGTACAATGCAGATCAGGTAAGATGGTGTCCGACTCACCTAAATTTATTTTAAAGTGGTCGGTGGCGACTCTAACCCATCATTTCAAGTCGAAACCCAATTCCGGACCCAACTGAAAGACGGTTCCAACAGAGTGATTGGTACAATATATGTTGGAGGCCACAATGACGATGTGACGTCTTTTGGAAGACGTTCAGGCGACAGGGTGTCTTTAACAAAGTTATAGTGTTACATACTTTCAAACATGCATATAATTAAAAGAAGATGTCGTGCGGTCAAGATGTCTTTTTATAATAGCATATTGTCCGGATGACCTTCAACATGTATTATAACAATTACACTACCTGAGAAAATAATTATACCAACACCTAATATGAATTTTGTTTTCTCACCACAATATCTAAACAATTTACCTATATAAAATAATAACTCAATAATTAATATCAGAAGTAGATTTCTCTTAAAATCGACTCTTTTAAGGATTTTTTTAAGGTCCAAAATTAAATTGTAAATTTAAAAGGATTAAAATAAAAATTTTATTATTTTAATTTATAACTTTATACTTTTTCAAAGGATTAAATTAAAATTTTATAGTTAATAGGGAACAAAAGAAAATTTCACCATCATCTAAACTTAAAAAGTTAGAGTTCAAAGGGAAAACCAAATTTACCAATAAGGAGACAAATGATTATCACTATTAACTAGTTAGACTTAATAACGATACTAGGGATGAGCATGAGACTCGAATTCGACGGGTTCCGATCTGACCTGAATCGACTCAATCAGGTTTGATTTTTTTTTAAATTCGAGTTCGAGTCTGGTTAGAGATTGTATTCGGGTTGGGTTATGTTCGGGTTTGGGTTGAAAAATACTTGACCTGACCTGACCCGAGAAAAATATATAGTTTTACATTCATATTTTAAAATAATTGCAATAATTCCCGTTATAAATTATTTTTTCAATTAAATTCATATTTTTATTGAATAAAAATATTATTTTTAATAAAAATATTATTTTGAATAGGTTTCAGATTTTATCTCAAAATATTAGGTCGAGTTAGGGTCCGATGGAGGGTGTATATTTTTCGGGTCGGGTTGGATCAGGTTGACCTAAAATCCAACCCGACCCATACTCATCCTTAAACGATACTATAAAATAGTATCAAATTATGTCAAACCAAATATATAAACTAAATCTCAAATTAGACCATAGTAGACGGACGAAACCAGCAATTAACCTATATATAAATATATAGTATTTTCTACGTGATATAACTTGATTAAGGTTTCAAACGACGTCGTTTTAACAATTAAGAGACCTTATATGTGGGAAAGCAGAGAACTGGAAGGAGTTGGCGACGGCGGAGATGGAGGCGGCTGCGGCAGTGAAGAGGAGGAGAGAGGTGGAGAGCCAAGTGATTGAGAAGGTTGGCGAAGTGATAAGGGAAATAAAAAGAGCAAAGCACGTCGAACAAGTGATTTGCGCTCTTCACTCTTTAGCTGTTCTTCTCTTCCCTATTGATTCTTTTCTTCTCTCAGGTCACTCCTTCTCGCTTTCCTCTTTAATAAAAATCATCAGAAAATTTACTAATAACTTTGTGAATATATGATTTTCTGATTATTTTTTATGACTATAATGGACTTACAGGGAGTATCGACGAGCGTTACAAAGAACAGGTTTTCTTCTTCTTCTTCTTCTTCTTATATTCGTTCCTTTTGGATTTATCCATTTCATTTTGTTTGAATTTTCGTTATTTGTGCTTTGTTAAGATTGTGAGTGCCAAAGTTCATGTTGCAAATGAAAGGGATGATTGGTGGAGGGCATTTTATCAAGGAGCTGCCTTCCCAACACTGGCTCGTGTTTTGTTGCTTGGTAATTTTTTTCCTGAAATTATTAATGTTTTTGGCAGGAATCAAATCCAGGATTTTCTTATAGGAAATATGTTGTATGCAGATGTTGCTTCCAATTGGCTCACTTGTTTCCCTTTTTCAGCAAAGAAACATATCTATGATGTTTTCTTTGTCAATGGACTTTCAACTGAAGTTGTTCAGGTTTTGGTTCCTTTCCTACAGCAGAGCAGCAGCTATAATCTCGATGTCGATGCCATTCAGTCAAATGTAGAAAGGTATGCTGTGGTATTTTCTGTTTAAATCTTCTGTTAAACTTGATTTTTATCAATTGTTACTACATGTTTTACATTTGACAGGTTGCTTCTAATCTGCCTTCTCGACAATGGTGGGGTGCTTAAAATGGCTATAGACCTTGCAGTTTTCCCGGAATTGGAAGATAATACAAATGACAGGCTTAAGTCAGCTGTGTCTAGGGTAGCACAAATTGTAACATCTATTCCTGACAAAGCACGGTTGAGAGCCCCGCCTTTACTTTCGTCACAGTATCCTTTGTTTTTTCCTCGCTAATTATTCTGTTTGTTTATACATGTCTATCCATCCATTTGTGCTTTAACTGCCGGAAAGATGTCAGGCATTTTCGTTAGTCTTTCAAGGAGAAATGGGATTAAATTTCGACATCTATTTATTCTGGAAGTTTTTATTTAAAATGCCTTGTTTTAATGTTTTTCCTTTACAAAAGTATTATAGTTTGTTTTTCAAGCAGATCACTGTTCAACTTCTGACTGGCATGGTTGAAAGACTAGCAATCACTAGTAAAAGTGATGTTGATGTTAACATTTCATTTCTTGGAGAAATATTTTCCCGCATTGCTCGACGTGGATCTTCGGGTAGTTTAGATATTTCAAGTCCTAGTGTTGGATTTTGTTTCTCTCATTTTGATCATACATCTCCATTTTAATGGACTTATCATCCATTATGAGTTATATATCGAATTTGTTAAATGAAAGGAAAAGTTTGAGTCTGACAGTTACTCCACCAATTCTTCTGTCTTTTCTCACTCTTTTGGATAGTTCAATGCATTATGCCACTAGGTAATTCTTATCTAAACAGATGAGTGCCATTTGGTACCACCTTAGTTTCCGATTTGTGAATGCAGAAATATTTGTTCTCTATGCACTACATTTAGAGAATCTATTTCATGTTATATACTGGTGTTTGTGTGTTTCCTGGTGCTATACATTTATTATGCATCTTAAATACTGCTAAAAATGATGAAATTGTGAATCTAGTTTAGGCTGGAGAAGCTAAGGTGAACTTGAAGAACATGGTGATATCAAGATCCTAATCTTGAAGTGTTACAGTGTAGGGCTAGTTAACTAAAAGAACATTCATCACTATTAGTTTTTATAAGTTGGTAAACAGGCATGAGGGTCCTGAATCAATAATGTTTATGTTCTATAGTTTCAAACATTAGCATTAACCACGTGAAATTTAAATTTTCTGGTTCTTTTAAAGGCAAATTCTATCCAAATATTCTGTTCATTTCATCACACACTGCTGAAGATGTTCTTTTGTTTCCCTCTCTTTTTCCTCTTTAGGAAAGCAAGATGGTGGTGAAATTGACTCTGAAGTAACTACATTCATTGCTTGCAGATGTGCTGTTAAGTGAAGTTACCCCCCAGATTCTTAGACATGTTCGAAGTTGCTTATCTTCGAACACTGATGTAGTTGAAACAGATGCATTTGAGTCAAACCCTGAATCTCAATTGTGGTTAAAGATAATGGAAGCAATAACAGACCCCTACACCGTAGAAAGAGTTGCAGAACAGCTTTTGCGTCAGCTTGCAACTGAACATGCAAGTGATATTGAAGCTTATTGGGTTCTTTGGATATTGTTTCATCATTTACTTCAGGTTCAGTCAACAGTCAGGTCGGTGAACGTTTGTTATGTCAATTTCTTTGTTTAAGTGTAGCTGACAATATGCATTATTCAATTGAAATGATCCTTTTGTTGCACCTAGGTCATTCAGACCAGAAGAAATGACCATCGCGTTGTCATAAATCATTATAATTAATGACATTAACTTGGATAACTTGCATGCAACTTGACAGTCTCAAATACAATAAATTGGAGAATGAACCTTTCTTTTATTTTCCTTCGTTGGTTGTATATTTATCCAGAAGGTAATTGAAACTTGGGTATCCAACCATAATAAGAGTCTCTTGGTTTCTTTAGGTGAACTGTGCGACGAGCAAATTGTTGTGCAATACAGAAGTACTTCTTAATATATAGATAAATAGTATAGCACTTTGTACTTCTTTGTTTAAGTTTATAGCTGATGTTCTTTTTCAAACTTTTCTTTGTCAGGTCCATGTTTGTTGACAAATTTTTACTGTGGAAAGTATTTCCTGTTTGTTGCCTGCGGTGGATCTTGCAATTTGCTGTTCTTGAATACTCACCCATTAATAATTTGCAAACTAAAGGTCACAAAACCACCAATGGTCTTTTGCACACAGTGGAACGCCTGGCTGCCGTATGGTCAAAAAGAGACTTTGTGCAATCAGCTCCACTAGAGCAGCAAGCTTGTATCCTTTACTACTTTGACGCATTAAATTAAAAATTCTCAATTTGGTTGACAATTCTTAGACATGCAAGCTGTAGAAACTTCACTGTTATTGTGGGAATCATATCTGTGTATAGTTACTTTCTTCTAAATAAGAGTTGTCAAGGTGTGCGCCTATAGATGCCTGCACCTTAGCACTAGACTGCAGAAGAACCTCAAATCCTTTCGGGTGAGGTCCATCCGATCAGGCGCATGCCTAGTGTGTCTAGGCATGCTTTTTTTCTTAAGGAGATAGGCATAAAAGGAGCCCACGTGATTAAAGTTTTTTTTAAAATTTAATTTTTCAATTTTTTTCATTAGATATACCGTTACTAATAAGAAAGAGAAGCATCAAACCCTATACTTTTAACAAAAGATATGGACTATAAGCAAATCATGCATATTGACCAATAAAAACATTGCATGTTTTGTAGATAAACTAGACCATGCTTAGAGTTTATAAACACAGACACTCAAATACAAAATCTCATAACATACAAATTGTGCTATACTTCCCTCTGGCTAGTGCTATTTTTGCCCATTGTGCCCTTGATAACACTGTTCTAAACCTCCTACCCTGTCCGTCCTTCCATTTTCATTCTTTTTCTCGTCTTCAATTTTTCATGTTTTATTTCCCTTTAACTTGGAAAGCAGATATAACTGCTGCTTTGGGCCTTTGCCTGGAGAAGATGTCCAAAGAGGAACTAGATACGACAAAGGATGTAATGCACTCAATTCTTCAAGGAGTCAGCTGTAACTTCTTGAAACTTTTGCTACTAAATTGTCCTGGATTTTAGGCTGTCGCTTGTTTTTGCACTGAAAATCTTTACTGTCAACAGGTAGGCTGGAGAGCCCTGCAGATCCAGTGCGGAAAATGGCTAGCAGTATCGCTTTAGTATTCTCTAAAGTAGTTGACCCAAAAAACCCTCTATATCTTGATGACAGCTGCAACGGGGAGAGCATTGACTGGGAGTTTGGATTAACCACCTCTGAGAAAGGGAGCTTGTTGAACTCAAATGCAGAAAATAAAATTGATGAAACAGGGACGTCGCAAACAGCTGGCAGTGGGAAAGGCAGTGGCGTGAAGAGTAAAAGCAAGAAATCCTCTGAGTTCAGTTTGGTTGATCCAGATGAGATTATTGATCCCGCTACTCTAAATTATGAATCAGCCTCAGATGAAAACGATGACGATAATGCAAGTCAGAATTCTGATTCAAGTGACTCCTCTCTGCGGCCATATGACTTGACAGATGATGACACAGATCTGAAAAGAAATTTTTCACAACTGGTTGATGTGGTTGGAGCCTTAAGGAAATCTGATGATGCTGACGGGGTAAGTTTGAGACTTTGAGTTCAGCGTTCATTCTTGTCTTCATTAAAATTATTCAGTTTGTGTTATCTATGACGCCTAAACTTTGATACGCGCAATGAAGACTCTTTGAGTATCAGGCTATCAGCTACTTTATTGAGTTTTTCTTTTCCTTCATATCCTTTAGTTGCTCAACTGACTAACTTTGAAAAAAAAGAGAACTGACTTGTTTAATAAGCTTAAACCTATGTTAGAGGTCGTTCAACCAACTGCTTGATTGTTTTCTTGTGAAAACTTCCCATGTTGCTAGTTATATGTCAAAATATGCTGCCAATCCCTATTCTTTGATTGTGTGAGATATAGTCGTTGTCCTTAAAAAAGTTAAAAATTAAATCTTCTTAATTTTTTTTATTTAAAAATTCTACTCCAATCATTGATAACGGTAGTATTTTCCGTCCAATTTTTCTTACTTGGGTATGCTTATTATGATTTCCTTATAATTTTTGGTCTGATTGCATGGGTATTGATGGCAAATTTTGATGGAAAATATTAATGCTGACAACGATTAGACTAAGATTTGAAATTGGAAAATTAAGGGTTTAATTTTTAACTTTTTAAGTACAATGATAATCCAAATTTCATTCAAGTACAGGGAATGGTGACATTTTGACCGAAGTTATATGACACGTATAGATTATTGAGGAAGGCATTTAACTTTTATCTGGAGAATTTTAGTAAAAGGAACTTGGGTTAACTTGATTTTGTATGTTTCTACTCTGCAGGTGGAGAGAGCTCTAGATGTTGCTGAAAGTCTTATACGAGCTTCACCTGATGAACTAACACATTTAGCAGGTGATCTTGCTCGAACTCTTGTACAGGTTCGTTGCTCCGATGTGGCTGTAGAAGGCGAGGAAGAACCGGCTGAAGAGAAGCGGCAAAGTGCTTTAACAGCAATTGTTGTCATGCGTCCATTTGAATCTCTTGATACTCTAAACAAACTATTATATTCACCAAATGTAGATGTTAGTCAACGAATAATGATACTCGATGTCATGACTCTGGCAGCAGAGGAGCTTGCCAATACTAAAACTATGAAACCTAAACATCAAACAGGTCCCCTCATATCAACCATTTCAGAACCTCAACCATGGTTCTTGCCAACCAATACGGGACCTCCAGGAGCTGGATCCTGGAAACAGGTCTCAGATACAGGAACCCTTCTAAACTGGTCAAACCGATATGAAAGAAAACTTCCACTAAAAGGCGGGCATGTCAGGAGAGGAAAGACTCGCAGGTGGAGCCTTAGATCGGGAAATCTACATGAAAACCAAATCGAATGGTCCCAAAATAAGTTTCCTCCATATGCGGCGGCTTTTATGCTTCCAGCTATGCAGGGATTCGATAAGAAAAGACATGGTGTTGACTTGCTTGGTAGAGACTTTCTTGTCCTTGGAAAACTCATCTATATGCTTGGTGTTTGTATGAAATGTGTATCAATGCATCCGGAAGCATCTGCGTTGGCTCCCCTTCTTCTTGATATGTTAAGATCCAGGTACTTGACTCAACACCAATATGTAAATATTCTGTCACAACTATAGATCCTAGACTTATCCTTTATGGCATAGACTGACTGGTGTCTGATGATACATATATGTGCATCTGTGCGCGCGCATGAGACTACATAAAAAACATGTGTCAATACTTTTGGTAATTCAATGATGGTTTTGCTAATTATCTGTTTTACTTAAAATCTTCATGCGTACATAATTCGTTAATCTGCCATTACCCGATTTCGTTAATGCAGGGAGGTAAGCCATCACAAAGAAGCTTATGTCAGAAGAGCTGTCCTTTTTGCAGCTTCATGCGTGCTTGTTGCTCTTCATCCCTCTTCTATAGCATCTTCCTTGGTTGAAGGAAATATCGAAATCTCTGAAGGGCTTGAATGGATCCGTACATGGGCCCTTCATGTTGCTGACTCGGACACCGATAGAGATTGCTATACGGTAAGCAAAGAGATCGTACAAATCTCTGCATCAGTTCTTGGACTTTCATCTCTCTGATTTATGCCTTTTAAGAACATTCCAATAACTGCATCATTTATTATTTGAATCATTAGAATGTTGTTTAATGCCTAAAGCTTTTCCGATTTTAGATGGCAGTATCGTGTCTCCGACTACATTCCGAGATGGCGCTTTTAGCTTCCCGAGCACTGGAGTCGGCAGAAAGTACATTGAAAGCCAAGAGTATTAGCCTGTCATTTGATCTTTCAAAGGGAACAATCAAAATCCCCAACTCCAATGTTGAATACTAGTAGATTCACATACAGTTGATGCCCATCAATGCCAAGAGTATTAGCCTGTCATCTGATTTTTTTCGCTCGACTCAGATAGAAGTAGACCTTGGGTGTGTAAATATGACTACATTTTAAGAAAAACTTGCATTTGCACTAATTATAGGCGAAAAATAAATATTTAAATTATTTTTATTGTTTATTTTAGGTGTTAATCTTTTTTTGGGTCAAGATAATGTTTAACATTTATTCTATTATCATTTAATGTCGCAGCTTGAACTTTTAATCGTCGATACATCGACAGTTTAAGGTGATTTATTTTTTAAGAAAAAAATAAAATTTAAGAATTTTTGGAATTTTAGTGTTTTTTACTTTTAAAAGATTAATAGTATAACACAAACAATCATGGGTAAGACGTAGTGTTGAAATCGGGCGGAAAAAAAAATTAATGATGGTTTCACGAAGGCAGAAAAGCAAACAGTAGCCTTCCACGTCAAGCAGAACGAATGGTCTGATATAAGGAATTCAAAAACCAATCCCCCCACAAAGTTTATTGAAATCCCATAGACAAAAGTCGTCGTCGTCGTCGTCATAATGGCGTTCTCCCTCACTTCTCTCTCCAAATCACTTTCCTCTCTCCTCCCTTCCCGATCAATCCCCCCAAAGCCATCAAATTTGCCCCACCGGTGTCTCAGTGGGACCCCAAATCGACATCGACGCCTACTTCTCTGTCTCTCTCTTTGACGGAAACCGATGAAGTCAATGCCATAACATGTCCATCGCTGGCGTATTCGAACACCCTTTTCTTCAAATCGGTTTGCTATAACGCTCAGGTGGTGGTGGCCGAGAATGAACCGGAGGAAAAGCTGTTGGGTCGGTTCCGGAGGGCCTTGTTTAAGGCCGGTGTCGTACAGGAGTGCAAGAGGAGGAGGTTCTTCGAGAGCTCGCAGGAGAAGAAGAAACGTAAAGCAAGGGAGGCTTCTAGAAGGAACCGCAAAAGGTTTATTTGTTTTATTGATATTCGAACTCGATCAAAGTGCCTCAGATGATGTTGGTTTATTGAGCTCATTGGGAGTAAAAAAAATTCACTGACCTGAGATAGAAAATCCGATTAGTTTTGTTGAGAATCTCCCATCAAACCCGTACATAGTACTAAATTGCACTGCGTTGCGGTGTAATTTAAGAACATGAACCTGAATGACTCGAATACCAATCAGCCCAAGCTTGAAATTCACCAGGACTGAATAAAACTTGGTCTGAGTTGATCCAATCCATATTGACCCGGTCCAGAACCAACTCCAACCTGCCCAATTGTCCCAGATCCCACCATGGATTATAGAATTCGGGTTCTATTGTGCAATAGTTTAGAAGGTTAAGCAGACAATAAGCATATAGAAGATTCAGATTGTTGCAAAAATGAGTGTGTATTCATTTGCCTTTTGCTTAATACATTACTTCAAATACGTATGTTTTCTGCTAATGAGCAGCATAGGATGCGACTCCTAAGACTTTTTAAGTTTTATACAGTCTACATAGATTTTTCAGAGGTCTTAGGCTATGTTACCCGGACTCTGCTTAATTTTCGGGTACGGTACGTGTCTAACACTTCGGATATGGGTACGTGTTCAACGCTGCTTATTGCTCAATACGTCACTTGAATATATGTATGTGTTCTGCTAATGATTATCAAGCGGAATCTATCATAGCAAATAGAATTAGGCTTTTTACCAGCTTTTGAGTGTCAAAGAACAGAAGCAACTAATTACATATTTACACAGATGTTAATGAAGATTTAACTTTGAGGAACCATTTGACAGCTAACAAATCATTTCATAGATCTTTCAGTGGTCTTAGGCTTTCTTACTTGGTATCGGGTACGTGTCCAACACTAGTGCGGTCATATCCTCGGACACGAGTGTCGAACACTAGTAATGGTTTGTTCTTACTTTATATTGACCAATTCCCATGCAGTTTCAAGGAATTTGGAGCAATAGATCTCTGAGAATAGCTTACTGAATGATCCGTTTTTTGCCTATTTTCAGACGGTTTAAACCTACGGCTTCCGCACAAGCCAAAGAGGAAGGCCCTAAGAAGAATGATGATGAAGATGATAATTGGGACCTTCCTGAAGGAGACTTGCCCTATTAGCCAGGTTTGATATGAAAACCCTATTATTGCATTGACTTCAATATCAGCTTACAAAATCTTGGTTTCGGATGATTTAGTTACAAAGTGAAAGCTTCTATTTAATTCCGAAATCAAAACATGTTTTGAATGTTCCATTGCAGGGTTTTCCAATAGCATTATCTTTGCAGACTCATACGATCGTCAATCTTTTAAATATATAAAAAGAAAGTTTAAAAACAAATTAAGTATATCTGTGTTAAACACACGCGTATAAAAGATTGTTAGTACAACATATTGAGCAAAGGTTTAGAGCTATCTTTGTGGAATTGAAGGTATGAGTTTTAAGTAATCCGATAAGAACTTTTTGAAATATGTAGAATTATCATGATCAAAATATTTCACATCAGACTTTTATTTTCAATTTTACGGTATAATGACTAGATTGCTCAATCGATTAATTGAGTGACTTAATCGTGACTTCTTGAAATGCAGTAATCCGTTTGCAAGCTTACTACTAATTGAGTGTTATGTTGTGCAATTTGCTTAAAATTTAAAATCTTTACATCACCTTTCATAATTATTTGATTCTAAACAAAAAAGGTCATTTGATTGTTATTGATAGAGAATGAATAACACCTATTTTTGAGATATTAATTTGTCCAATTTCAAAATCAGAAGGACCTAAGATGTAATTCTACCGAGTATTATTATTTCTCGGGTAAATTACTATTTTACTCATTGAACTTTACTTTCTATCTTATTTTACTCATTGAACTTAACTTTTTTTTCAATTTAATTGCTGAACTTTATACATTATTATTTTTAATCATTCAGCCACCCAACTAAAAAGTAAGCAATAAATTGAGACAAATGTGAAACAATCAAGCCATTGTCTCTTTTTTGACCAACCTCGCATGCGTCGCTTTCGGTCTTGATGTCGCCACCAGTGTCCTCAATGCTTCCATGTTCACCGTCAATGGTGTCCAAAGAGCCATGATATTTGACCGTCTCAGGGAAGTATTAAAAAAAATGGCTGATGAAATAACCCATTTCCTGATCTTATGGCTCCAGAAGCCTTCCATCGATTATATCTACACGAAGCCCCACATTTTCTCATTTGTTTCTGGAACTAAGGATCTCCAAATGGTTAATCCTACCCTTCGAGTCCTTTCTAAACCCAAGATAACCCAATAATGTTTTTAGCTTTTTTTTCTTCTTCAGGTTAAATGAGTTTGTTTGACTTATGAGTTTTGTTTATTACTTAATGAATTAGCAGAGAATTTCTGTGATTTTGGATGATTTTATCTAATAGGTTTTTTGTAAATTGACGAGTTTTTCATCTTGTTAAAAAATTGCATAGAAATGTAATTTTTTTTGTGTAATTATACTTTTATGAATCTTTGTATTTAATTATGTTCTTTTGGAGATTATTGTTTGATTGATATTATTTTTGCAATAAAGTGGAGAAACTTGCTGAATTCTATCAACACCATGGTCATGGTCTAAGTATGATGAGAAGGTGCTCTCTTCCATTGGTAACGAGGTCTTGAAGGTCGTGGTTCTTACCGACGTTGACATTGGTTATTAATTCGCTAACGAAGCGTGCCGGAGACTTCAACATCGAGCTAGCTGATGTTGCTATCACACATCTGTCATACAATGCTGAATTCTCAAGGGCTATGGAGCAGAAGCAAATGGCACAACATGAGGCGAAGAGATCCGAATACATCGTGGTGAAAGTTGACCAAAAGAGGAGCACAACTATTATATCCGCACATAAAGTGAAAGTGAGGCTGCAAAATTGAGGTTGAGGAGAGAAATGGAGAGAGAATGGGAAGAAGAAGAAGAAAATGAATGAATGAAAAACATAAAATAAAGGAGAAAAAAGAAAAATGATTTTTAATGTATAAAGTTAACTACTGAGTGATAAAAAAATTCAATATATAAAATTCAGTGATTAAAATGAAAAAAAATTAAAAGTATAATTAATAAATAGAAGAAAGAATAAAGTTTAACGGATAAATTTATAGTTTACCTTAATTCTTGTAAACCTTTGTTTTGTAAGGAAAAAATAAAGAACAAAAGTAAACCCAAAAGCAAGCCTTGTAAACCAAGCAACGGCCATTTTTCTACATTAACTAATCATTGCGACTCGTCTCTTTGATCTCTTTGTAAAAAGGGTTTCTCTGTTTTCCATCGTTTCACCATAAAAAAAATTAAGAACCCAAACTCGTAGCTTAAATTCTTCCTTTTGCTAATCAAAAGCAGAGTACTTGATTTTTCATTACATTAATATAAATTCTAAAAAATACCCAAACTGAAGGGGGGATGAATGCTTTAGCTTCTGGTTTTGGTTTCAAAGAGATTCAAGAGAAGGTTTCTCATAGTTTGAGACCTTGGCATCGCTCATTTCAGTTCTGGGTTCGAGCAGTTGGTATTTATACTGGCTACAAGGTCCTTTCTTCTTCTTCTTCTTCTTTATTTGTTTCTCTATTCTGGTGTCTCTCTCTTTAGCTTCTTCGTAAGGTTTTTGGTTGTTGGGTAATTGTTGATACAATAGGTGTTTCAACTTCGAGTGAGCTTTGTGAAGGATGCAGAAAAGCAAGAGTCAATGTGGGAAAAACAACATGAGCTTGCTGCTGATAAAATTTACGCTATGTGTTCTGATCTTGGTGGGTTCTTCCTTAAGGTACACATGAATTGGTTTCTTTCTCTATTTTCCCTTTTTTTTCCTTGTTTCTTTACCGTAAGTTTTGCTTTGAAAATGGTACAAATTTAAATGGGGTTTTGTCCCTTTTTTGGTTTGTTCACTGTTTGATTCTTATTGATTGCTCATTTTGTTGACTTTGCTGTTCTTAGCTCTTTGCTGTTCAATTAAAGACTGAATTTTACCTGTATGTTTGAATTTTCTTATGTTTTCATTTTGAAATACTGTAATATGTTGAGGATTCTGTTTTAATTGCTTGTGGATACTGCCAATTGAATTGAATTAATTGCTCAAATTGTTCGGAAACCAGACCTAGCTCCGGCTGCATGGGTGAAAAAGCTTGTTACTTTGTGTGATCAAGCCCCAGCAACACCATTTGATGCCGTTCAACTTGTTTTAGAGGAGGAGTTTGGTCGAAGTATCAGCGAAATTTTTGAAAACTTTGAAGTAAATCCTCTTGGTTCAGCATCAATTGCACAGGTTTATTTTCCATTTCTTTACCATGCTTAAAATTCTTAAATGAGCTGGCTGAGAAGGATATAGGTTTAAGTATTTAAACATATAATATTTTCATAAATAAGGTTCATGCTTACAAACATACTGCAGGATATGGCACAGTTGCTGTTTAAATGGAAATAGAATAATGCTTATAAGAATCCAGTGGATATACCGTAATGTATGTTCATATCTGAATTAGGTTCATCGAGCAAGACTGAGAGGTGATAAGAACGATGTTGTTGTAAAGGCAAGTCCCCTTGACGATGATTTTAAAGCCATGTATATCCATGTTATTGCTACTATTTAAGTTTATGGCAGGTGCAACGTCCAGGAGTCCAAGATCTGATGATGACAGACATCCGTAACTTGCAAGCATTTGCGCTCTACATGCAAAAGACCGATATAAAATTTGATCTATATTCTGTTACCAAGGAAGAAAAACAGGCATCCGTATGCACACTGATGCTCCTTGCAAAACACATTATCCTTGTTTTCCAATTTATTGTGTTTCATTTCTTAACTTTTTCTTCCATCTTTAAAATAGTTAATATTGGTAGTTTGGTACGAGAAGAATTGAAGAATGGATGGGTCTAGTTAGTAACGAGGGAGCAACATATTCAAAAGAAACTAATTCCCATTGTTTGAGTGCTTCTATAGTCAATACATCTCATTAATTAGTTCGTAATGAATCATCCAGTCGCCATAATCTAATTCCTAGTCTCACGATGCAGCTTATTCAACTAAGCCATTTCAGAAATTCGTCAAGCTAGAATTATCTTTCTTGTTTTTCCCGATGTTATTGAATTAATCATTGTGCTTACTTGAATCAAACTGCCATGAAGTGTTATATCAAATTGCTCAATTTGTTCCATTAGTAGTTATACTCGGTATTTCTTTAACTCTGTTAAGTACAATAGATGAGAAACTACACCCTTATAAACTTTTGCAACTCATGATGTTGGTAAAGCTCTAGCGATAAAATTTGTATAATAATATCCATTTTGGATGGTTGATCTCAATTCCTTAAGTTCTGGTAACTGTGATTATAGTTAGACATCAAGTCTCAACTGTAAACTTTCTCATGTTAATTTTTTAATCTAGTTTTTTATAGCACTCATGCTTTACATACTTTTCAGATTATGTAAATTGAGAGTATCGTTTGATTTTCTTTGTTCTTCTGCAAGTAGTTAATTACTTACGCTTTGTGCTATCAAGATCGGATATGAGTTTGACTTTCCAAGAGAAGCCAATGCTATGGAGAGAATTCGCCGTTTCTTATATGAGAATAACAAAAAGACTCCAGTCTTGGTTCCGAGAGTGCGTCAGGGTTTGGTTACAAGGCAAGTTGACTTTTTTTTCCTACATATGTCTTGTACAGGTTAGTTCTAGGTCTATCCAAGAATATGAAGCGAGGATGTCTGGAAATGCATTATATATTTTAGTTTAGGACTTTGTTTTATCTTTATCAGTCTGATTGACAAGCGGAAAGGCTTTGCCAGTGCAGTTTCATTTGTTTTGTCTTTTAAGATTTATCATGCATGCCAGCAAGTTAGTTATGAAGTTTGTTATCAACGTTAGCGTTGTGTCATTGTACCCTAAAATATTTGTTAGTTTTTGAGATAAAACCATGGGTTTAAAAACCAGACTGCTGACCAAATCAACTGGCTGAACCAGCGGGAACCGGTTGGCCCAACGATTCCACTATATAATTTGCAGCAGAATTTAGAGAACTGGGTGGAGCTGGTAAAAATCCTGTAAAACTGTATTTTTAAACAAAAATAGGGCATTTTCATTATGTCTTGGTTCATTTTCATCCTTTGCTTTCTTGTAAATGATTTTTTCCTATTTCCTTCTGAAATGTTATTATTTTTTATTTTAAAATTATTCAAGATTGTTGAACCGTTTGGTTCAACTTATTGAACCTATTGAACTGGGACTGAAGTTCCAACCAGTTTGACCTCTGTTCCGGTTTTTTCAACCATGGATAAAACAAGTAATTGCCTATTAAGTTAAAGTTGTTGGAATCCAGGAAGGACAGTGACATAGTTGATAGAATACTGAGCTGCATGCTTTGGTAGGAAATGAGAAATGGCTTTTTGAGACAAGAATTACTGAGCTCGGGTGATTCCGCTTTCCTTCATGTTTTCTAGATTATGCATTTTATGTTGATTATTTCTCTTCATCGTCAATGCTGGCATTTCAGTGATGTGCTGATTACTTGTTTAAATAGGAGGGTCTTAGTGATGGACTATATTGAGGGAATCCCAATCTTGAATCTTGGTGATAAAATGGCTAGAAGAATAAATCCTGGTAGTAAGATGGCTATGGTGGCAAAGCAGTAAGCATCTTGGATACCAAAGAGACCACGTAGTTTCTTGTCTCGTTCCTTTTACCTTACCAGCTATACTTACTGCATTTGTCTTTTTCATGTGAACTTGAAATGAAGCAATAAGTTCCAGTTTGTTTGTATTGCGTGTTCTCCGAAGTCGTATAGTGGGTTATCCCGCCTTCTTTTGAGTACCTGATTATCTTATTGCTTAATTTTTTCTTCCCCTTGACGTTTTTTAGGTTCTTTCTGAAGTTCTACATGTGTATCGCTTTGGGTTTACTAAGTTATTTACTCTTTGATCCTGTGCAAAAGAGAAAATAAGATCTGTTATCGTGCTTTTTAGAGAATGTATGATAACGGCCTTAAAATAACACTTTGAATGCAGGAATATACTGAAGAGTTTGACTCTAGCATATGGACAGATGATACTAAAGACCGGTTTCTTTCATGCAGATTCCCATCCCGGAAATATACTGATCTGTAAAGGTTCCGAGGTGAGTTGGCTGTCATGGTTTTTAACTTTTAAGTTCTGTTATATAGCATACTGACTTGCCATATTACATACTGCTGATTGTGTGATTATTTTGTTTTTCGCTTTAACTGAGGTTGCCTTGCTGGACTACGGGCAAGTGAAGGATTTACCAGACCAGTTGAGGCTCGGATATGCTAATTTGGTTCTTGCCATGGCTGATAATGATCCCATTAAAGCAATCAAAAGCTATAGGTAAACTTGTTAGTTTTGGTTTATGCTTTGTTTATTAGCCTTTCCATATGAAATTTGGTTGCTCGGATATGACCGGAAAATGCCGGTTGATCCACATAATTTGAGTGATAATTTTGATAATGCATTGGTTTGACGCTGTTATCCTAGCATTTTCGGAGATTTAATTGGTGTTGATTATGTTTTGTTATTCTTGCTTTTAGGGAACTTGGCATCGATACTGTAAGCAATTGTAAGAATGACAACAGGAACTGCTTCGCTTGGCACAGACGATGTTTGATACAAAACTACCTCCGGGAGTGGTAATGCTGCAACCATTCTCCGATGATGGTTCGATAAAAAAAAATCGGTGTACAGGTATGGGAAGCTGATCACTATTCTTGCTTACCGTTTGATGATATTCACATTGTCCGAACAGTCGTTTCTTATAAGATTTACCCTTCATTTAGCATTCAACGTTCCTTCTTTTCTCGTGTTTATAACAAATTCTTTTTCTTGGCTATGGAAGTCTTTTCCGGAAGAACTGTTTTCGATTCTTCGTACCGTACATCTTCTGAGAGGACTTAGTGTTGGTCTTGGAATCAACTACTCGTGTGCGGAACAGTGGAGGCCTATTGCGGAAGAGGCTCTGTATAATGCTGGAAGGTTAAAAGTATCCAATAGACCTAGAGGATTCAAACCTGGGTCATGGGAGCTCCCATCTTCCATGGATGGTGTCTTATCGACCGGCCAAATTCCCCATTGAGGAATTATATTTCCGACATCAGTCGTTTGTTTATCACACAATAGCAAGAATCATCTTTCCAAATTTTCCGGTCAGATTTCGTGATTCAACCGGCCTTCCGATTCATTGCTCGAGCTCTATTTATGTTGAGCAAAAGTGACATCTGAACTGAATGACTCCACATGCAGTATACATGTGTAAATTCTAATGGAAAACTTACCTATAATCCTTTGTTTCATCGAGCTGTTTACCATGTAAATTTTTAAGCAAAAAGAATGGCTTAATCATAGTTTTAGTCCCCCAATTTTTATTTAGCATAATATAGTCCTCTACTTCTACGATCGATACTATTAGAAAGTCTAAATTAATAACACAGTTTAATCATGTTAAAATTAGTCTAGTAAGATGAGATTAGGTCTTTTAAGTAATGTCAAATGTTTGAATCCTGACATTGTGAATGAAATAAATTAGATTAAGAGGATTATCCTCATAATGAACGGATTTTTCGATCAATGTGTTCGATATCAATGGTTATACAAAAAAAAATATAAGTTGTAATTTTAGCTGGATGAAACATTAAGTCCTTTAAATACTATAATATATTTGAAATTTGATATTGTGAATGAAATAAATTGGATTGAGAGAATTGATGCCATAATGAACGAAATAGTGGATCAGTAGGGTGAATATTGGTGGTTATAAAAATACAAGTAATTTTAAACAAAGAAGGATTAAATATTAGGTTCAACATAATAAGGGACTAAAATAGGAATTAAACCAATAATACCTTGTCCATTTTATTACATTTTTAAACGAACTTATCCATTTCCCTCCATTCCACTCTTTCTTGGCCAAAGAATATGCAAATACTTCAAGCCCCTCTTTTCTTTTCTTTCCCTAAACCCTTAAACCTTTCTTCCCCAAAACCCTTATCTCTTAATCCCACAGCTTCCATTGCTTTCCTCTGTTCTTCAAAACCCATTTCCCCAGGGATTTTCCTACCCCAAAATCCTTCAGCTCCGATGAATTCCCCGTCGACGAACCTTCCTCGAGAACTTCGGCCCCAAAGACAAAGAAACCGAAGACGAAGCCCGTCGCCGGAACTGGATCGAACGAGGATGGGCCCCTTGGGAAGAAATCTTAACCCCGGAAGCTGATTTCGCTAGGAAGTCACTCAACGAAGGTGAAGAGGTCCCTCTCCAAACCCCTGAAGCCGTCGAGGCTTTTAAGATGCTAAAGCCTTCGTACAGGCTTAAAAAGATGAAAGAAATGGGAATTACAGAGGATGAGTGGTATCGGAAGCAGTTTGAGATTAAAGGAGATATTCCAGACCCTTTGGAGACGTTGTGGGCGGGTCCATTGGCGTTGAGACTCGTGCCTCCACGAGATTGGCCACCCAGGGGATGGGAAGCGGACAGAGAAGAGTTGGAGTTTATAAGGGAAGCGCATAAATTACAGGCCATAAGAGTGGATTTGGAGAAAGTGGAGAAAGAGGTGATAACTGGGAAGCAGACATGGGTTTGAGAGATATAAAGCGTTTTTGAAACAATATAAAGAGTGGGTTGATTCTAATAAGGATAGATTGGAAGAGGAGTCTTATAAGGTTTGCAATCTTTTGAAAGAAAGAAAAATTTACTTTCACCTTTTTGCTTTCTTATTCTTCGTTCATTTCGTGGTTTTTGGTTGATTGGGTATTTTTGGTTAGAATTTTGCACTTTGCTTGATGTGACTTCAGAGTGTGTGTTGGTAGTAAGTTGCCTTGAGGAATTGTTAGTTCTAAATATGGAACCTTTTGGTGCAAATTTAGCTTCTTCTTTTTATTCCATTTTCTAATGAGGTTACAATGAACCTCACTTGGCTGACAATTTTATGTAGTATCGAAGGGTGACATTCTATTGAGTTTTTGGGCTGAGTTTTAAAATTGAGTGTAAGGATAACACATTGAGTGACCCAAGTGGTACAAGGGAATGTTGTTCTTCCTATAGGTCCTGGGTTCGAGTAGGGTGTGTGTACATCATCATAGGCTAAGAAAATTATGAACAAATACTACCTTGTAATCACCCTAGACTATTAAAAAAGTTTGAGATTAAGGATTTGGAAATATTGAGGTAGTGCTGTGACAATGATTAAAAAAAAAGGGATAGCGAAAAAATTGAATATACATATGTTTCCTCTTTTAAGCTTGATTTTGAGGGGACCTTCTTAAGCCCTTGTATACTAGTTTGATTCCTATTTGCTGGTGCAGTATGACCAAGATTACTATCCTGGTAGGAGGAAAAGAGGGAAGGATTACAAAGACGAAATGGTAAATTTAATTGCTTAATTCTCTTCATTCATACCAGTTTTTGCTTCTTTTTAATATCCTTTTCTTTCGAGTTGTTCTAAACTTTATAAAGCTATTGATGATGATTTATTGTATTTTGACAGTTAGAGCTTCCATTTTATTATCCAGGCCAGGTAAGTTTTCAAACTCATTTGTTATGGAAAATGCCTTTATAGTTGTTAAAGATCGCATGAGATAGAATAGGTTTTTGATGCAAGATTTCTTTGCAGATCTGTGAAGGAAAAGTGACTACCTTACACCTATATCAAGGAGCATTTGTCGACATAGGCGGTGTACATGAAGGGTAATTGTCATGATTTGATCTAATTTTGTTTAGCAGCAAAAATTATAGTAAAAACAGTGAATGTCATCAAATCCTAAGTTTTGATCTTTTACCTTAAATCAGTTTTACTGAACTTTCTTACCATGTATTTCTTAGAGGCCTTATTCTAACCAAGATAATATGTACCAAAAGAAAACATCTCTCCTAAAGGCTAAAGTTCCCTATCATTACCCATTTGATTTGTTCTTGAACTTTGTGTATGCATGTACCTGTGTTCCTTCCCTCAATCTAACTATCTGCACTCCTTCTATATTTTGGCCTCTTCACTCCTACAGTCCTACTATTATGTAATTTTAGTTTAAAATTATTGTGAAATTTACTTGGCTGATACTGAGATTCTTAGACTTTTTGGAATTCCATATGGCATTGGCATATTGCAGAGACAAATCGTAAATTTTGAGTGTCATTTACTTAACAATTTGATCACTCACGAGCTTAAGAGAGCAGAGTGTAGCTGATTAATGACTCTTGTATATGCTTGATTTGCTATACGGCTGATTCAGTATCAATGAGTTCTATTGTTAATTATTGTTAGGGTTTCCTACTAGATTAATATGTTGTTTTTGTCTATTTCAGGTGGGTCCCAATTAAAGGTAATGATTGGTATTGGATCCGCCATCATATAAAAGTTGGTATGCATGTTATTGTTGAAATTTTGGTAAGTATTTTTTGCCTTTTCCTTTGCATATTTATCTTTTTCTCTTCAATTAAGGTTAATGATGAGTATATTATGTTTCATTTTTCTACATTTCATCCTTTCTGCAGGCCAAACGAGATCCTTACCGGTTCAGGTTTCCGATTGAAATGCGTTTTGTCCATCCTAACATAGACCATCTGATGTATGTAATTCTGGGCATTGGAAGCTCTTTCTTCTATTTTGTCTTTTGTGGCATAACACCCAAGTCACTTACCATCTAAATATCACTGGGAGTTCATGGTGGTGTTTAAGTTTATTACTTCTGATTTTCCTCATTGTTTTCTGATTTGCATCTTGCTTCTAGATTTAATAGATTCGATTTTCCACCTATATTTCACCGCGATGAGGATACTAATCCAGATGAGTTACGGGTATGTAACTTATTGCAGTTGTCATTCACTCATTCTAATCAACTATTTACTCGTTTATTGCATCCTATTTTTTCCAAGTAAATTAAACTAATTAAGACCATCTTTTATGGCGTCAGCAGGGTAGAAATTCTGGGTTTCCCTTAACTTTGCATGTTTTACAACCGTATATTCACCCTCTAATGGCCGTTTTTCTTATATTTATTTGTTTGTTTGGACGGTGGCGGGAAACCTATACCACCGTTCCGAGGCTATTGCTCTGTTTATTCAGTTAAATCATGACTTCAAAAGTTAGTGCAACTGGGATAATACCCCATGAGATATTGTTTCGAGATTGTTCAATCGACTATTTTGAATATCAACTTTCTACCATGAGTATTCTTCAATTTCCTTTTGTTCCGCTTCAATTTCTTTTTGTTCCCTTTACAGCGTGATTGTGGAAGACCTCCTGTTCCTAGGAAAGATCCAGGAAGTAAACCTGAAGATGAGCCATTGTTGTCAAATCACCCTTATGTTGACAAGGTAATCCGGCATCAATATATTTATCGATAATTAGTATTTATGATAAGAGTATCTTTTTTCCTCGTTTCGAATCTCTGGCCAATTTGCTTCGCAATAGTTCATTCATGCATGTGCATTCTGAGAGCTGATGAACCTTCTTCTGATAATATTTGTAAATATCCGTCTTAACAATTGGACATTGTTACTACTCACCTGACCACCTCTGAGAAGCAAATGATCGTTCTTTTCACAAGATCTGTTTTTTGCTTGTGATGCAGTTGTGGCAGATTCATGTCGCTGAGCAAATGATTTTGGATGATTTGGAGGCAAATCCAGAGAAGTACAAAGGTAAAAAGCTATCGGAACTAACTGATGACGATGACTATGATGAAGAAAACAACGTAGAATACGCCAAAGTTCGCTACAAGAAAGGTCTTTTACCGAAAATGATTGCGGTGAGCTTGTCTTCATTCAATTTTGATATAGACCTATTTTCTGCTTATATCAACCTGTTAATATGGTTGCATTCTTGACAGAAAACTAGTGTTAAAGAACTCGATTTGGACGCCGCCTTAGCTGAGCGCGAGGTAATCGTTTATTGGTTGTTTGCATCCTCTATTCTTGATGTTTTTCAAGTTTTGCTTTAATTTTAATGGAATTTTATCTTCATCACCTCGAGTACATAACTACAATTCTTCATTTTCCTTTAAGTACCCTTGTTTGACATATATTTGGATATGGTTTTAAGGATCTGACCTTCAAGGACCTTCTGAATATATGGAAAAACATTTTTTTCAAAAATCCAAATATACCAATGTATGACACAACCCAAGTCCGAGTAATGTGGAAACTGTTCCGAAATTTCCTGTATTTGTCTTTAACTTACCATGTAAATGAACTTCCGGAAGAGAGATTTTACTTTTCCTTTGAATCTGGTGCAGCTCCACAATAAACTTCGAAGCGAAGCGAAAGAAAGAGGAGAGGAATATAAAATCAGCAAATTCAGGAGAAATATTGAGATGGATGAATATGATTATATACATTGGCGTCGCTCATTCGAGGAAAGAGAAGCTTTAATCAGAGACATCAGCTGGTATTCCCATTGCTCTTTTCTTCCCCTTTTCTAGATGAATTGCAACGGTCAGAAAAACTTGACTCAATAAAAGCGTATTTTCTTGGCTTCTACTAGTCTTATATAGAATAATGGATTATCTAGATACTTGAATCATGGGAATAAAGTTAGCTTTTTACCTGAGATTCTTCGGATCAGGTTAATATAACAGTCTTGCACTCGAATCTTTGATTGACGAACTGCAGTCCGAGATCCGACCCTTCTGGTTCATCCTGCACTCTGCTTGCAGGCTGTTTAAAATGCATGTCTATGTTTCTCCGTCTTAATTTTTGATGATCAACTGATTTTTCACAGCCGTCAAGCTCTTGGTTTGCCGTTGGAAGAGCCAGGAAGATATAAAGAGGCGAGTTATTTCGGGAAGGATCAGTACGATCCTTCAAATGCCTTGTATCGATATGACTACTGGGGAGAACCGAAGAACTCGGAAAAGAGTAAACAAGAGCGGATGACCGATGCTCACAACAAATCTATTTGGGAAAGGCACCGTATGGTACGATATGTCTTACGATGATGCCATCAAGCAGAAAATGCAAAGAGATGCCAATTCAACAGGAACGATGCAAATGGAGGGTGATGAAGATGAAAAGAGAGGGCAAAGAAGTGATTCTGAGCTGAGTCTGACTCGGATGATGATTTTGATTTAAGCATTCTGAGTGATTCCAGTTTTGAACTCCCAAACCAACCCCTTGTTAATGGGACTGAATCTTCTAGCATATCAGATGAGGGAATGTTTGAGGACTAATGTCAATGCTCACATTCTCATGTTCGTGTTCGTGTTCAGGTTCGGATCTGTATCATATATGGATGTCAAATACGACTGCTTCCATATTCGGTTTCGTAATGATATATTCCGTTTCAATTTTCTTGTCTTGCAAAAGAACTATGAAAATCGATGTTTTCGTACGACGGTTCTTTCCGATTCATAGGATAATTTGAGAGATCATTCAAGATGGTTATAATTATACTTGGTAAGTACAAATAATAATAATAATATGTTAATTTCACTCAATCTTTTTTTTTAATTTGAATAGTCTTAGATAATTACAAGGTCAATATATATTCAAAATCTTTCTTTTGATCATTAAGGTCGTTTTATGCGTTCTTGATTAATTTTTCTTTAAATAAATGAATAAAGTTAATTTAATAAAATAATAATAAGATTAATTGATTATTTCTATTTTTTATCTTTGTTTTGAATATTTTTATTTATCTTAAATTTATTAATAAATTTTAAAAATAAATAAAAATAAAAGTTGATTTTATTAACCTATGATACAATTTTATGTTATTATATCTAGAGTTGTAAATAAACCGAATGTTCAGTTAATCATTCGTAAATTGTTCGACGAGAAGTTCATTTGTGTTCTTTTATTTATTAATCGAATAAATATGAACAAGATTTTATGTTCGTAATGAACAAACATGAGCAAAGGGCTCGGTCGTTCATTTACGTTCGTGAACGTTTTATAATATGTTCATTTACGTTCGGTAATTCGTTTGTTCATTTAATTAAATTTAAATTTCTATTTGATTATTTATATTATTTTAAGAATTTTTAATTGATTTAAAAGAAAGTTATATTTTTTGTTCGTTTGCATCCGTTTATCATTTTAACGAACAAACATAGATAAACACAAACAAGCTATATTCCTTAATTAATGAACATGAGCAAAAATTATGTCCGTTTCATAGTTCGTGTTCATTCATTTATTCAATTAAAGTTAAACGAACGAATATAAACATACACTCATTTGTGTTCATTCGATTCTTTTATAGCCCTAATCATATCATTAAAAGTTACGATCGTTAATAAAAAAATATTAAAACAATGAATGAAATTAAAAAATTTAAAGATTTAGAGATTAATACACATACTCTCAAACTTGGTTATAATAATATATATTAATTTTTTTTAATATTATAATTGTAAAAGTTTAATAAATCTAATGATAATTTTTCAATGTGTAAGAGTATAAATTTTCTTGAATCGAAGTCAATAATTTTTCTAAAATAAAATTAAATATTTTAATAAATTGAATAAAATGGATCAAAAATTATTTTATAAAATTTAATTTAAATCAATGGATCGTATACTAATAACTAAACAAAAACCATCCATAATAACTTGGTAAAACCAAGAAACCCATGTTTAATAATAATAACATAAAATCTAGGAAACACCTAAGCAGATCAAAACGTGCAATTAAACAAAAAGAAAAGAAGAAAAATTTGCAATTTTACAGGGAAAGTTGATGGAACTAAGCAGCTTTCTTCATGCATCGAAAATGGCTGATTCGGTGGCTTACCGGCCCAAGCAAAGAGCAGCGTTGATGTCGAGCCTCCACGCAAATCCGCCACCGTTCATCCTCCAAACGTCGCATGGCACCGTCAACGAATTTATATCCTTCCTGCATACGTATTGCACCCTCACCCTACACGTAAACGCCAACGCCATCACCGGCGGCGGACTCTGCTTCATCAGCAAACGCACCATCGTTCGCCGCCCACCATTTCCTTATATGCTCCGTTGGTCCATATCACTCTCCCGAACAAATCCGATATAAACCCCGGACACGTGTCCTTCCCTAGATTAACCTTCCGTTCCTCGTCGGTACACCCCAACCCGTCACCGCTAACCCAAGTGTCCGTCACGCATTCCAACGTCACGCACGACGACCTCACAGCCCGATGTACTGAATCATCACCGCTATCGCCGCCGAGGAAACTGAAACTCAATTTTTTATCAGCTTCAACGATGCTTAACCACAAAGTCGTCGTTTCGTCGTCTTCTCCATGGAAATGGAGTCCTTGCAGTCTGGAGTTTCAGATATAAGCGGCAAAGTAACCCTTTTCTCTTCGCTCAAAACCCTTTTTCTCCTCTTTGTATTTATTATTATTACTCTCTTTCGACTGTCTTCTCCTACCTCTCCCCAGTTTACAATTACCCTCGCCGCTGCTTTCCAATGGGGAAACCGACCCACCACCACCGCCGTTGGCCGGCTTGGGTGCGATCGGTCTAAACCGGAGCATTATCCGGTCCACTTTCGACATATCGTAAACCCCGAAGGCTTCATATCTATTAACTAAACAACATCCTCCTCTACTCTCCATGCCTCCGGAAGAAACTGGAAAGAGTGGAGAGATTTATAAGGAAGATGAAGTGGACACGTGCGATGTTTTCCACACGTGTGTGAACGGAGAGTCGAACACCGAAGCTTAACGGCTGATACGATTTTCTCCTTTGTCTCTCCGTGATATAAGGGAAATGGAATAATGATTTTCTATTTGTTACGGAAATGCCCTTGTAATTTTAATGTATTTTGAAAATGAACCTGGTAGTTTGGTCATATTACAAAAATAGATTCCGATAAAGGTGACGTTTAACTTGGCTTGACTTGAAATGGCAATTCTTTTATGTCATTCTTGTTTCTTTTAAGATTTTGGGATAAACAAAATAATGTTAGTGTTGGGATAATAAAAGAAAGTTTAATTTAGGGTATGGGTATGGAAAAAAAACAATTTAATCATAGATCTATTCAACTGGTATAGAGTTGCTCCAATTTAATTAAGTTTTTTTTATAAACATATGTATCTGATCTATTAATATAGATCAAGTACGGTAGAGTTTTAATATGGTTGATCCTAATCTAATTTGCTTCATTCACAAATATCAAAATTAAACAATATTATTTAGATCTTTAGCCAAGTAATTTGATTATTTTTGAATTAGTCTTGATTTCTTATTTATTCAGTTCTTTATTTATTCAGTTCTCCTCAACCAATTTACAAAACATACGTAACTTTAATTTTTTTAATTTAATCACTCAATTTTATATTTTAATTAGTTTGAAAGAATCTAATCAATTAGAGGGCAAACTTCTCTTACAATACAATACGTGAAAACATGAAAGAATGTAATAAATTATCAAAAACTCTAATAGGATGAAATGTTAGGTTTTTCTGAATAAGATCATAAATTTAAATCTTGATGTTATAAATAAAAAATTAAATTAGAATGGTTATTCTCGTAATAAACCTTTATAATACGTCATATAATTAATTAATTAATAAATCTAATATCGGTCAATATATAAAAAAAATATACCCTCAAAGTTCATAATTCATGATTCCACCGGCTCGAATTATTATAACCCCTACTAGTGCTACCTTGGTTATGATTTGTGAGATTTAAGAATGTGGTTAGAGTCTCTTATTACCTATCCCCAAGTTCCCACCATTGTTTGTCCCCATGATCCTTGAATGCGTGGGCAAATGAACTTCAAGAAGGACATTTTCTCGGCTGGCATATTTTTTTTCTTTCCACCCAAACAGGAAAAAAAAGCAGGATTCCTTGAGAGTACGACCAAGGCCAGTAGAATGGTCGCACGTTACATCAATCATATAAGCATTTTTCTTTACCTGTTATAGCTTTTAGTTGATCGACAAGTGTCCCTTGAAGCACTTGAAAACTACTCGAAAACCATTGTTTTGAAGAATCGAGGAGCAAAGAGACAAAGGGTTCAATAATTCCGGCAAGAGAAAAATATATTTCATGTGGGGAGGGGGGACCCCATTGATGAAAACCTAATAAGAAAGATGATACAAATGGAAACATCTTAGCCATTGGTTGTTGTTTTGCAGAAGAGGGTCCACGAATCCAATGGAAGATCATGGTGATTGGATATTATGCTGAAAGAGCATGAAGAGAGGATTACCTACTTGTGTTTTTGTTAGGTAGAGTAGACATGATAATTGAAGTGGAAGGGGGCAATTGGCAAATCTTGATCCATGCAACGTTGTCATTCTTTTTGTTTTTCTCAGTTTTAGATTTAGGGTTTATTATATTCCAAGTTCCATAATTTAGTCCTATAATGTTTTACCCTAATTCTATCCTTAATATATGAGTGAAGGAAATATTTTATGAAAAAAAATGTTTATAAAAATTATTTTAACAAATGATCGTATTTGGTGATAAAAGATTTGTACATGAATACATTGTCTTGTGTTCAATTCTCAAGTAATGATTTTTAATTGTTCTATTTGAAAATTATATAAAAATATAAAAATATAAAAATATCCTTACGATATAAAAATAAATTTTAAAATAATTTCCTAACTGATTTTATAGCACGATAATCAAGTCGTTCGGATTGATTAACTAGTCATTTTAATCTCTATTCTTCTTTTAGTCTATTGCATTTGTTCATTGGCATAATGTTTAAAAAAATTCCCTAACGTTTGATTAACTAGTCATTTTAGTCTGTATTCTTCTTTTAATATTTTTGCCCACAATGTTTTATCTTGTGCAAAAAGGCCCATCTATAGATGGAAACCAATAGTTAACAAACATTTAATGCTCCAAAATAAAAGCCTTTTATCCTAAAATGAAATATTAATGGTCAAAATACTCTCAAAAAAATATAATGGTCAAAGTAATTATTTGGTCAAACATTAGGGTCTTTTTATCTTAAAATGAAATGATGGAAGCCAAAATGCTTCAAAAAAGAATATGAATCAAAATTACCATTATGGTAACGTTGGAGGTTAATTTTGACATTATGCATAATTTTAATCATTAAACTTTTAAAAGTTATAAAAATAGTCATTAAATTTATCAAATTGTTATAAAACAATCATTATAATGTTAGGCTAAATATAAAAATTTGATAAGTTTAATGACCGTTTTATAACCTTTAGATATTTAATGATTAAAATCAACATTTACATATGAATCCGTAATTGAGTACTTTATCCTAAATTTAAATGAATAATGGTAGATGATGTTAATGGATTGATATGATGGGAACATTTACCTGAACTAATGGAAGTGGTTGGTTTTGACCGGAGAGGAAGAGACAGTGAAAAAGACTTCAAATTCAGATAAGATCTCCATTCCAAACGGAGTTCCATTTCCCTAATTTAGGGTTCCAACGTAGCTTCCGTCAAACACAAACAAGGAAAATAGTGTATACTCATATTTAAAATGTAAATATTCATAGACAGTGCATGTAGATTAGGGATGGGTATGTGATTCGATTGGATGAATTTTGATTTGATTCAACTTTTTGAAATCGAGTTTTTTTTTAAAAAAATCGAATTTGAGTTGGATCGGGTTTGAGTCGGATTAAGTTCGAGTTTATTATGAAAAATCTTTGATCCGATCTAATTCAAAATAATTTTTTATATATTTAAGAATAATTCCAATAATACCATCTCTCTATATTTTTCAGTTATGTCCTTATTTATTTGAACAAAATAAGAATTATATATATATATAAATATTTGTATTGGATTAGGTCCGATCGGATCAAATGCATGTTTTTACTCCAAAATCGGATCAAGTTGTAATTCAAATAAAACATCCCTAAGCTCGGGTCAAATAATAGGTGGATAAGTATAATACTCGAGAAGTATTTGAGTCGATCAAAAATTCAATCCAACTTAATCTATGTTCATCCCGTGAATGATAACTCTAAAACATTCATTATTAGAATTAATTTTTATATCAAATTCAAATATTTATTATGCATTTTTTTATAATGAATTTGAATGTCTTAATATATAATCTGTTTTACTTTTAAATCCATGCTAAATTCAATATATCAAGGATTCAGATATCTGCTTATTATTTAATTAATACATATTTAATAATTATATTTTAATTTAATAAGAACAATAATCATATTCGGATTTGAAAGTATATTTACAAATTTACATTAAGATTTTGCCGAAATTACAGATATAAAAACATATAATTATAGTTATTAATTATATCAAGCTGCCACCAATTATATCACCTATGATTTTATGCTACAACATATACAAACATACATATATACGAGTTTAAATATAAACACCAGAACCCAATGAGTAGTAATCAAAGAGAATATATTTTTGTAGGCTTAAATATATAAAAGGAATGTATGTTCATTTTTTTAGTTTAGTGTCTAATATTGTTTTTGTTTTAGTTTGGTGTCTAACGTTTCATTCCGTTACTTAAAATGGGTCATGCCGTGACAGACCATTAGTTTTCTCTGTTAAGTGACACATGTCACAATATGATAATTTTAAAAATATATTTAAAATTAATAAATAAAATTACATATTTAAAATAAACACAAATTTTGAAATAATCTCAAAACTTTGAAAACCTTAATTTCAACCCACACCCCTAAATCTTTCGGCTGCCCCTCTTCCAAGCTCGTTCGCTCGGCGACGGTGGCTTACCAAATCAATTGGGTTTTGGTCGGACAGGATCGGCGAGCTCAGATTCGGTGGCGGTGAGGTAGAAAGACGGCGGCTTTGGCCGAAAATTGCAAAAATTGAACGATGATGGGGTTTTTCGTCGGACTTTCAAACGCCACTCCACTACGAACGGTGGTGACTGGAGGCGAGTGGATGACTGGCCTATGACCGGTCTGGGACGGTGCTTCCACTAGGCTAGGCGGTGATGACTCCCGATGAGCGGTGACCGAGGTTGGCGGTGGGCGACCAAATGGTTTCCTTGAGATTAAGGTCGACAGTGACCAATTTCGGGTGATCTGAGGGCTGGGTTGAGGTTGTCGGTTGATGCTGAGTTCGGTGGAATCGACGATGTACACCACCACCGGTCGAAGAAGGGTGGTTTGGTGACGGGGTTAAAGGTTAATGGGTTGAAATGAAGTTTTCAAAGTTTTGGGTTATTTCAAAATTTGTGTTTTCTTTTTTTAAAAATATATAATTATATTTTTTAATTTTAAATAAAAAATTTAAAATTACCATATTGTGACACGTGTCATTTAACGGAGAAAACTAACGGTCCGTCACGGCGTGACCCATTTTGAGTAACGGAATGAAACGTGAGGCACCAAACTGGAACAAAAAAACGTTAGGCACTTAACTGGAAAAAAGGGCATACGTTGGATACCTTTTGTATATTTAACATTTTTTTAAGATCCTGGATTCGAGCAGTTATGTTTATAAGGTCTGAATACGTTATCAGTGGATAAAAAAGATTACGAACATATATTATCTTTTAATTACCCAAAACTATTCAAATATATATAAAAACCACCAATAATAGGTACATATATAAAATTCTATTTACATAGAAATTTTTCAAAGAAACAATT